ATGTGTTTTTTTCCCTTTTTCTTTTGTCTGCCTTTCTTCTTTGTATTCAATTATATACGTAATTTGTATTATTTGTGTTTTTTTTTAAACTAACGTAACAACTGCAGTTATTCACTATGGTTTTTGTGTTTCTGTTACTTTGTTTGTATTTTCCCCTCCCTTTTTGAGTTGTGAGCCGCCCTGAGTCCCTTCAGGGAAAAGGGCGGCATAAAATTAAACCAAACCAAACCAAACCACCTAAAAAGGTCTGTGCATGTACACAATGTAAGAAAAGGGGAAAAAATTACATCTTCGTAAAGAAGATTGATCTGCGCATGCGCAGAAACAAAAATCAAGATGGTGCCGCCACCAATAAATTGGTTCGGGGGCGTGGCAGGCTGAGTTACTACCTATTCGGCCGAACCAGTTTGAACCGGTAGGAACCCACCTCTGAATAGAGGTAACTTATCTGTGTAGGTAGTCCTCACTTAACAACTACCTTGTGTAGAAATCATTTGAAGTTACGACGGTGCTGAAAAATAACATTATGGATTTATGGCAGTCATGTGATCGCCATTACAATCAATACACATTGTTCTGGGAACAACTCCCATGGTTATCTGCATCAGCAGTTCCCTAACCTTTCCAGCTTTGCAGACTGGTGATGTGGGAGAGAGAGCTGCACGCAGGTGCGCCTGCTCACCCGCCACTTCCATGGCTCGGTTCCAGTGAGCCGTGGTCCAGGGGTTGAGGGCCCCTTATCTACATTGCCTTTTGGAAAGCCTGGACCCCTGATGGGGGCGCCTCACTTCGAAGGTGGCTAGTAGACTATTACAAGATCTCACTTCCATTCCATCTGCATTGGTTTTTATCCATTTTCATCTTAATTTTTTTTTGTTTTTACTGTCGAATGTTTTAATCCTGTAATTGTTTTATTCTCTTATTTATAATAATTTAAGCTGCCTGAAGTCACTCAATAGCGAGATGGGTGGCATACAAAATGTAATAAGCAAACAAACATATTGGCTTCTCTTGTACCAGAGTCTGGCCTGCTGTGCCACCGATCTCCTTGCCCTCTGCATCTTGCGACCTCCAGGGGAGTTTGGAGTTGATGTTGCTCTAGGCAATTCCCAGAGGTTTGGGGTGCCTCTTGGGTACGGAGGACCACATGCTGCCTTTTTTGCGGTCAAAGAGAATCTGGTGCGAATGATGCCCGGAAGGATGGTGGGAGTTACAAGGTAGGGTCACTTTCTGTTGAAAATCTGAAGCCACGTATAATCCATGAAGGGATTATACATGGACTGTGAAAAATTCTACTCTTCTTATGTATTTTCCTCTTTCCAGAAAGCATGGAGTGGTTGTTTTTTTTCTTTATATCTTTGGCTGATTTTAGATCATACAAGTAGTCCTCGATTTACAATGGTTCATTTAGTGACCCTTCAAATGGTACTGAAAAAAAGTGATTTATGACCATTTTTCACACAATCATTGCGGCATGGTCACATGATCTAAACTCAAATGCTTGGCAACGGACCCATATTTATGACGGTCGCATTGTCCTGGGCTCATGTGATCACCTTTTGTGACTTTTATGAGGAGCAAAGTCAATGGGGAAGCCAGATTCGCTTTATGACCATGTTACTAACTTCATAACTGCCTTGATTCACTTAAAGATGGTGGCAAGCAAGGTCGTAAAATAGGACAAAACTCACTAAACAACTGTCTCGCTTAGCAACAGAAATTTGGGCTCAATTGTGGTCGCAAGTCGAGGACTTCCAATTGTGGTCGTAAATTGAGGACTTCTTTTAGTTCTAGAAGATTAATTCCCCTATAACTACTCTTCCAGAACTAAATCCATGCTACTGAAACACATGCTTACTATCAAGTTTACTTCCATCCATACCCACCCCTCACAAAATTTATACTTAAATATACTTACCTGCATCCTGAAAATGTCAGGGAATTGCGCAGCAGCTGTCCAGATGAAGTTGGAGACACTAACACAAACTTGTAGTTAGATAGATAGATAGATAGATAGATAGATAGATAGATAGATAGATAGATAGATAGATAGATAGATATAGACAGACAGATAGAGACATA